TGTATGCATATGTCTCACACGATTCGTGGCCCCACGGAGCTCCACCGGAGGCCCCATGGTGGGCGTCCACATGCCGCCGCCTCGGTGCGGTAGGAACTCGATCGAAAGCCCCAGTCAGTGCATCCACGTGCCGCCCCGCCCATTTTGGCACATCCCTCACGCGCTTTGTGGTCCCGTAGGGAGCTCCATCGAAGGCCCCAGAGGGTGCGTCCACATGCCGCCGCCCCGCCCATCTCGGTACACCTCTCACACGCTTTGTCGCCCCATAGGGAGCTCCACCTGAGGCCCAGATGGGTGCGTCTACATGCCGCCGCCCCGCCCAGCTCGGCACACCCATCATCCGCTCCGTTGCCCCATAGGGAGCTCCACCTCAGACCCCAGCGGGTGCGGCCACATGCCACCACACGCCTATTTCGGCACACCTCTCGCGCGCGCGCCGTGGCGCAAGAAGCAGGGAGCTCCACCGAAGGCCCAGTGGGTGCGTCCACGTGCCGCCTCCCTGCGCACTTCGCGGCACGCCCCCAGCGCGCTTTCATGGCCACGCGCGCTCCACCGGAGGCCCCAGTGGGTGCGTCCCCATGCCGCCGCCCCGGCCTCCTTTGGCACACCCCTCACGCGTCCCGTGGCCCCATCTCTGGAGCGCCGCCCCAAGGCCCATTTCGGCACGCCCATCACGCGCCGCGCTGCCCCGCGGAGGCCCCAGTGGGCGCGCGCGCGCACGACTACGTGCACTCGTCGCCGCCCCATCCCCCTGCGGCACGCCCCACCGCACGCTCCGCGGCCCCGCGAGGAGCTCCGCCCGAGGCTCCAAGTGGATGCGTTCGCGTGCCGCCGCCCCCGCCTGCTCCAGCACGCCCCCTGGAGCACTTGGTGGCCCCACGGGGTGGCCCCACCGAAGGCCCCGCCTGCCCAGGGTCCGCACGCCGCCGCCCCGCCCACCACGGCGCAGCCCTCACGGGCCTCTCGTCGCTCCCATGCGTGTTGCCGCGGGCCCCGCACCCCTTTCGCGGCGCGCTGCCTTTTGGGGAGAGCACCGTGTCCCGCACCTTGTGTTGTTCAGCTGCTTAGGAGCGGATCTTTCGTCGGGCTGTTTTTTGTTGTCCGCCAGTCGAATGGAGCGGTGGTGATATGAAGAGGGAGGAGGAGGAAGGAGGAGGAGGAGGAGGAGCAGACACTCGGAACAAGGGCGCCCTCGAGGGCTCCAAGTTATTCGCACTTTGGCGCTTCGCGCTTCGGCTCTGATTCCTCCTCATCTTCCTTTTCTCCCCTGGGGGGCGGCGCGAGAGCGCAGAGTGATTCGCGCTCCGCACTCCGCGCAGCGCGAAGCGCGAAGTTGGGCGCCCTTGTGGGCCGTCGGCCACATGAAATAGGGACAAGATGGGGAGGGGAGGGATGTGTCCACCAACCACCAAGACCTGTGGCTTGGCATCGCTCGGACGTGTGCGTTTTTTTTCTCAGCGAGGACCACCGAGGAGTTAGCTGGGCCATCATGCGGACAAAAATGCCCGCACGAGACCAAAACGTGCACGGGGAGTGGACACTGGCGAGGTGTAGGCTCGTCGTCGCCGCCCCCCCCCCCGGACGTGGGGGGCGTCTCGCCGCCCAGACCTCTGTCGTCATGATTCCTTCCTAGCGCCGACCCCCAGAGGTCTGGACCCCTTCCCCGGGACCGGCTTCTCATCCTGCCTCTGAGGCGTTTGTTGGGCGGTCCTGGTGACCAGCGAGGGCCCCTGGAGGCCGAAACTGCCGAAGATAGGAGAACAAAAAGTGGCATGAACATAAAAACTCGGAGGTCCGCGCGGATTCCTCGGATCGGCGCTGGACCCCCCTCCTTGGCGCGCGGAGCGCGCCAGGGGCGGCGCCGGAGTCGCCGCCGGGGGGCCCCAGCGCCGATCCGAGAAATCCGCGCGGACCTCCGAGTTTTTATGCTTATGTCATTTTTTGTTCCCCTAGAAGAGCCTCCCGTCGTGATTTTTCCACAGCGCGAGGGCGTCTCGTCGCGGAGGCGCGCCCTCGCGCCACCCAGACGACGCTGGGCCCCCCCCGCCCACACGGGGTGGGGAGGCCTTAAGCAGAAGCCGGGCCTCGGCGGCCCCGACGCACGAGGAGGAGGAGGAGGAGGAGGAGGAGGAGGAGGAGGAGGAGGAGGAGGAGGAGGAGGAGGAGGAGGAGGAGGAGGAGGAGGAGGAGGAGGAGGAGGAGGAGGAGGAGGAGAGAGAGAGGAGAGAGGAGAGAGGAGAGAGGAGAGAGGAGGAGAGGAGAGAGGAGAGAGGAGAGAGGAGAGGGAGAGAGGAGGAGTGGGGAGGGAGGAGCGGGAAGGAGGAGGAGGAGGAGGGGAGGAGGAGGAGGAGGAGGAGGAGGAGCGGGAAGGAGGAGGAGGATGGGGAGGAGGGGGAGGAGGGGGAGGAGGGGGAGGAGGGGGAGGAGGAGTGTGGATGATGATGATGAGGAGGAGGAGGAGGAGGAGGAGGAGGAGGAGGAGGGGCTGGAGGAGGAGGAGGAGGGCCACCTCCTTCCCACGGAGCCCTGACCGGGGGGCTCTTTGAGCCCTCTCGAGAACTCTTGGAATTCTCGGGGCCTAGAGGAGGAGCACGTATCCATACGGCTACCCTTCGCGCCCGTTCTGTTTCTTCTTTGGACATCCTGGGAGGCCCTCGTCGCCACCGCTGGATTCGCCTCGAGGTTCTGGTCAACCGCACCCCGGGAGAGGTCCAGGGAGTAGCGGTGTCGGTACTTTTTCCGTGAGCACCAGAAGGCTCGTCTTTGCCCCCCCCCCCCCCCAATTCGCATCCTCACCCTCTGCATCATCCTGCTCCACGGGAAGTCTCGGGATGGCCCCGCGAGCCCATTTTGTTGCGTTCACGAGCTGCCCCGAGTATCCCCACTGCGTCCAAGGGCCCTCGGACCCACGGCCCAGGGACCACGACAGCGCAGGCCTCATCGATAGATGATCCGATTTAGATGGTAGATCTTCCACATGCCATGCACACCCCTGTGAGGGGTGTGCATGGCATGTGGACGCACCCAATGGGCCCTTGGTTGGGGTGCCCTATGGGGCCAGGGGGCGTGTGGAGTGTGTGCCAACTGGGCGCGGCGGCGGCGTGTGGGCGCACCCATCGGGCCGTATGTGGAGCTCTCTATGTGACCACGAACATGTGAGGAGTGTGCCGGAGGAGGAGGAGGAGGGGGAGGAGGAGGAGGAGGAGGAGGAGGAGGAGGAGGAGGAGGGGATGGACGGGGCGGCGGCGTGTGGACGCACCCCGTGTGGCCGTTGTGGGGGGCTCGGGGTCGCGAAGCGCGTGAGGGATGTGACGAAATGGGCGGGGCGGCGGCGTGCGAAGGCACCCCACTGGGGCCTTCGGTGGAGCTCCTCATGGGGCCACGAAGCGCGCGAGGGGTGCGCTGAAATGGGCGGGGCGGCGGCATGCGGACCCGCCCACTGGAGCCATAGGTGTAGCTCATCATGGGGCGGCGAAGCGGGTGAAGGGTGTTGCCGACATGGGCGGGGCGACGGCATCTGCACACCCACTGGGGCCTCAGGTGGAGCTCACCATGGGGCCACGAAGCGCGTGATGGGTGTGCCGGAATGGGCGGGGCGGCGGCATGTGGTACCGCAAAACGTGTGAGGGGCATGATGACTGTTGGATTGTGGTGATGATGATGTTGACGCTGCTGGGTGATGTTGACGATGCGGCTGATGATGATGATGCTAAGTGTTGTGATGTTGCTGCTGTTGATAATGATTTCGATGACGATGACGATGCCAATGATGAGGATGATATTGATGATGCTGCTGATGATGATGGTGGTGATGCTGATGAGTGTGATGGTCATAATGATGATGATGCTGATGATGCTGATGGTGATGATGATGATGATGATCATGCTGATGCTGTTGAAGATGATGAGGATGATGCTGGTTATGATGATGAGGAGGATGAAGATGAACGTGCAGATGATGATGATACTGGCGCTGGGGATGATGATAATGGCGGCAGTGTTGATCATGCTGATGGCAATGACGCTGAGGAGGGCAGAGGCAGGGATAGGAGGATGGAGGTGGCAGCGGGAGGAAGGATACGCGGGGCGCAGCTGATTCAAACTGGGGGCCCAGCACCACAGGATGGCCATGACAAAGCAGTTCAGAACAGCAAGCACTTCCACTGCAGAAGTTTGTTAAACATCCCTTCCGTCCCTCTGTGATGTTTGTTGGGCGGGCCCTTTGTCCGCACGGCACCATCGCATGTGTGCAACACATAGCCGTCACGCCACTAGCAGTGCGGGGGGTTTGTGTCGACCGCCTCGTAATTTTGAAAGAACTTGCCGCTTGTCCACCTCAGGACGATTGCCAAAATTTACGCCGATACAGGCATGTTGCCAGCCATTTACAGCCGCGGCAAACGCCTGCAGAAACACACGGCAACGCCTGCAGAAGCAAATGGAACATTCGACCCAGGCCAGAATTTCCTGACACTGTAAGACTGGCGGGACAATGTGTTGCGAATGTCAAGACGTCGGCCGAACTTCGTTACAATATTGTTTCTGCTCCGTTTGCACGGCACAGTGCGAGTTTGCATGAACTCAGGACGCTGGCCAATTTGCATCATAACACATTACGCGCTGTTCAAACCTACATCTACTCAGTGTGCAACGCCTGACGAAGAAATTTACTGTCCAGCACTGGACTTTTGATATGAGTAGCAAATATCAGAGACAGTCTCGACTTTGGCGAGTGCACATGCTCCTAGAACTCACATGCGACAGGATTTATGCAAGCGGGCCCCAGCGCGGGCCTCTCTGGAGGCCGAAACCTGCCAGAAACTTCCCGCCGAGATAGTTTGTCCACGACGCGAGCATCCCTAGGGTATTTTCCTTCTTCCAGCCCGATCCTCCTCCTCCCACCCCTCCTCCTCCTCCTCCTTCGAGCCCGACGTTCTCAAACACAAAGCAACAGATCCGTCGCGATTCTTGTCGCTGCGCGAGGGGGCCCCTCGCAGCAGGACTCCGTCAGCGCCCCGCCGCCGCCCATCGACGACGACAGCCCGCACGCGCAGGCCTCGGAGGAACAACAAAAATGGCATGAGCGTTCCCTGTCGGAGCTCTGCGCGGGTTTCTGGGATCGCAGCAGGCATACATTGTTTTTTTACTGACCCTTCGGCATGTCCACCGCCTCCAAGAGGTATCCCCTGACAGACGCATCTTGCCTTTGCACAGTTTTCGTCGCACGGAGGACCAGTGGTTCATCTCGCAGAACAGAATATTGGACCGGCGCGGCCGATGCGGCGATTCCTCCATAGCCGTCGCTGGGGGGATCGATCTTCGGGGACCTCGGCAGGCGGCGGGTGTGGATGTGTGCGGGCCCCCCGGGGCCCGAACGTATCTAGACCCACAGCTCGCTGGGGTCCCAGGACGTCGGTTCCCGGGCGGTGGATGTGGATGCACCCCCGCCTCGCAGCGCCGGCCCCCCTATAATGCTGGCGCGCAGAGCGTGCCAGGGGGCGGCGTCGGAGTCGGCGCCAGGGGGGGGCCCAGCGCAGATCCAAGAGACCTGCGCGGAGCCCCAAAAGTTTTGTGCCTCGGAGCAGAGCGGGTTCGGACAACGGCGGCCCCGTGTCGTTCCCCAGGCCCCTTTCTGGGGTCCGAGCGCACCAGCGTCCCGAGCTGCGCCCAGCCGTGGCGACGAGGGCCCCCCTCGGAGGCCAAGCAGTCCGCGCGGAGCCCCCGAGAGCTTCAGCGCCTGTGCCGCTGCTCCTGCTTCGCTGCTCCCGGCAGCAGTCGCTGGCAAGCACGCTGCCCGCTCGCCCCCCCTCCTCGTCCTCCCCAAAGATCCGATGTCGTGGTTTTTGTCCACACGGCGCCGGCTTCTCCATCAACAGATTTTTGTTGGCGCTTCGGGCGGATTTCTTGGATCTGCGCTGGACCCGCCAGGGGCGGCGCCAGAAGCGCCGCCGGGGGGGCCCCAGCGCAGATCCAAGAAATCCGCGCGGAGCGCCAAAAGTTTCTGTTCATGGGGCTTCGTCTTCTTCTGGGGTCGCTTCCTGTCACCGCCCACCAAACTCAACCCCAACCCAACCCGAAGGTTCAGATTTACCCTCGCTTCCTAGTTGGGGGGGGGTCGGGAAACCTCGAAAAAACACGCGTGGAGCCCTTACCCCCCCAAAACCCGAAAATCGGGTCTTCGGGTTGGGTCGGGGTGGTCTGGTAGGTCGCTTCCTGACCGCCCTGGGGCCCCGCGAGGGCACCGCCCTAGAGGCCGAAAAAGCTGAGCAGAGCCTCCGTCCTGAGCTTGCCAGTGCCTCGGATCTCTCGGGAGTCGTCCTCCCTCCTCCTCCTCCTCCTCCTCCTCCTCCTGGCTCCTCCTCCTCCTCCTCCTCCTCCTCCTCCTCCCTCCTCCCTCCTCCTCCTCCTCCTCCTCCTCCTCCTCCTCCTCCTCCTCCCTCCTCTTCGTCCACTGGCGAGGGCACCCGTAGAGGCCGAAAAAGCTGAGCAAAAAGCCTCTGCCCTGAGCTTGTCAGTGCCTTGGACCTCGGGGGCCGTCCTCCCCTCCTCCTCCTCCCTCCTCCTCCTCCTCCTCCTCCTCCTCCTCCTCCCTCCTCTTCGTCTGGGCCGTGCCGAGCGTGTCGTGGCCAGCCAGGCAGGGCCGCCGACGATCCGCTTCGATGCGCTCCCCGGCGCCGGCCAGGGCCGGCCGGAAGCGGGGCGCGGCGACTCGAGATGCCGACCCGCTTCGGGACGACTCGCTGGCGACGCGATCCGCCTTTCGATCCGAGATCCGACTCCGCGAGCCCATCCAGCGCAGGCCTGCCAGGCGTGCTGCCTCGCAGCGCAAGATGGGCTCGGCGCATATGCCCCAGAGATCCGATGCCGCGACTTTTTTCCGATGTTTGTCCGCGCGGGGTCCCCCCCGGACGTCTTGACCCACTCCCGAGGACAGGCTCTCCAGTCCGAGTCGTTCTCTGAAGGTCTCGGGGCCCCGCGAGGGCCCCTACAGTCGGGGCCCTGAACAAGGAACCCTTTTCGTTGGGGAGGGGCTCCGCGTTCCTTCATTGTTTCGCAGCTTGCCTGAGGTGTTCCTTAGGTTTTCGATGTGCAATCGAAGGTTAACTGATGGACAAAAGGCGCTTCGTTCCCTATGTAGGGTTCCTTAGGTCAACGCCCCGACTGCAGAGGCCGAACATTGCGAAAAAAAACCTCCGTCCTGCTTTTTCTCTTCCAGGCGCGCTGGACCTCTGGGGCGGTATCTGAAGGTCTTGGGGCCCAGCGAGGGCCACTAGAGGCTGAAAGTTGGGAGAAAACCTGCGTCCTGCTTTTTTCAGGGCCCCGCGAGGGCTCCTCCTCCTCCTCCTCCTCCTCCTCCTCCTCCTCCTCCTCCTCCTCCTCCTCCTCCTCGAGGCCGAAAATTGCGAAAAAAACTGTGTCCTGCTTTTTCTCCTTCCAGGGGCGCTGGATCTCTGGGGCCCCTTCCTCTTGGCACCGCTCGGACGTGTGCATCGCCTCCTCCGGCGAGGACCACCGAGGAGCATCCTTGATCATCTGGCGAAGAAGCCGCGCGCGAAACCGAAAACAACACGGGGAATGGACGTCCGAGCGATGGCCAGTTCTGGGGCTCCTCTCGGGGGCCGAAAGTTGAGAGAAAACCTGCGTCCTCCTCCTCCTCCTCCTCCTCCTCCTCCTCCTCCTCCTCCTCCTCGAGGCCGAAAATTGCGAGAAAAAAAAACGGCGTCCTGCTTTTTGTCAAGGCGCTGGATCTCTGGGGCCCCTGTCCTGGGGCTCCCCTCGGGAGGCCGCGCGCCTGCCGGCCGTGGCCGCCCTGGCGGAGGCGGCGCGCGACGCGCGGGCGGGCCTCGGCGCCTCGGAGGCGGCCGGGCGGGCGCCCGTGGTAAAGGGGGGGGGCCGACGCGAGGGTCTGCACGCCCGAAATGGGTACTGAAAGAATGGGCACGATGCCCAACATAGGGCGACGAGATCTGTGCACATCCACTGCTCCTGGCCAGGCCCATCCTGGGCCCAGGAGCGGTGTGTGCGCCCTTCTGGCCTGGCCGGGGAGGCATATATACACAGCTCCTGGGCCCAGGATGGGCCTGGCCAGGAGCAGTGGATATGTATAGATCTCGTCGCCCTACAACAGCAGTTCCTGTTCATTTTGAACAGGCCTCGCTGTCCACGCCGCCGCGGCCTGTGTCCGTTCGAGACTGGAGGCCGCCTGCCCAACAGCGGCCGCTGTTGGTTTGGGACAACAGTTGTTGTTGGGCATCGTTCCCCTTTTTTTCGGTACCCGTGTCGGGCGTCCAAAGAGGGGCGGGGGCCGCAGAGCCAGACTCGGGGCGGGCGTGCCCTTCTGCAGGAGGAGGGTTCAGCCATTGATCGGGGGGGGGCGACGCGAGGGGCGGGGGCTTCGACTAGACGTAAGTCGGGCGCGTCCCCCTACAGGAGGGTGTTCGACGACAAATAAGACATACCCCCAATCCTACCCCAAAAAGATACAAAACTAATAGAACAAGTGGCACGCGTGCCCTGGCTCTTGCACAAAGGAGCTGCGAAGGACAGGAGGCCCCCGCTTTCGTCTTTCAGGGGGAGTTTACGAGGAGCCAGAAAGAAAGTGGAGGAGGAGGAGGAGAAGGAGGAGGACGACGACGACGACGAGGACAACAACGACGAAGACGACGACGACGACAGTCGTCGGCGGCGCCCCGCCGCGCGGCTCGCCGCCCGCGGTCGCCGCCGCGGGGCCGCCGCAGGGGGGGGAGCAGTCCCGGGAGGCTCGGGGGAGGGGGGGCCGCGGCCCAGGGGAGCCAGAAGGGGGCCCAGGTGGACGAACCACAACGACGAAAATAAAGGTGTTCGAGCTCTAGAACTCAGCTTTGCAAGAGAATAAACGGTTCCGTGGCCCATGGGACGGAGGGAGGCTCCCAAAGGCTCCCACGGGGGGGGGCCCAGGGTCTCAAGGGGAGGGGCCCAGGGGGACGAACGAACCACGACGACAATAAAGATGTCCGAGCTCTAGAGCACAGCTGTGCAAGAGAATAAAGGCTTCGGCGGCCCAGGGGGGCTGCCCTGGGAGGCTCGGGGGGAGGCTCGGGGCAGGGGGATCCTGGGAGGCTCGGGGGAGGGGGGGGGTCCAGGGACGACGAACCACGAACGAACCACGAAAATAAATGCTTCGGCGGCCCAGGGGGGCACCACGAAAATAAAGGCTTCGGCGGCCCAGGGGGGCTGCCCTGGGAGGCCCTGGGAGGCTCGGGGGAGCTGCCCTGGGAGGCTCGGGGGGAGGCTCAGCGGCCCAGGGGGGCTGCCCTGGGAGGCTCGGGGGGGCTGCCCTGGGAAGCTCGGGGGGAGGCTCGGGGCAGGGGGATCCTGGGAGGCTCGGGGGAGGGGGGGGTCCAGGGACGACGAACCACGAACGAACCACGAAAATAAAGGCTTCGGCGGCCCAGGGGGGCTGCCCTGGGAGGCTCGGAGGGAGGCTCGGGGCAGGGGGATCCTGGGAGGCTCGGGGGAGGGGGGGGTCCAGGGACGACGAACCACGAACGAACCGCGGCTGGGGAGGCTCCACTGGGGGGCGCTGGGGACCACTGGGGGGCGCTGGGGAGGTCCCAGGGGGGGAGGTCCCACTGGGGGGGGGAGGGGTGCGTCGCGAAAAATAAAATCGTCGGGGCGGAGGGGGCACTGGGCGCGGCTGGGGAGGCCCCACTGGGGGGCGCTGGGGACCACTGGGGGGCGCTGGGGAGGTCCCACTGGGAGGGGGGGGGAGGGTGCGTCGCGAAAAATAAATCGTCGGGGCGGAGGGGGCACTGGGCGCGGCTGGGGAGGCCCCACTGGGGGGCGCTGGGGACCACTGGGGGCGCTGGGGAGGTCCCACTGGGGGGGGGGGGGGGGGTGCGTCGCGAAAAATAAAATCGTCGGGGCGGGGGGGCAGGGGCGGCACTGGGGGCGCTGGGGACCACTGGGGAGCGCTGGGGAGGTCCCACTGGGGGAAGGAGGGGGTGCGTCGCGAAAAATAAAATCGTCGGGGCGGAGGGGGGGCACTGGGCGCGGCTGGGGAGGCCCCACTGGGGGGCGCTGGGGGCCACTGGGGGCGCTGGGGAGGTCCCACTGGGGGGGGGAGGGGTGCGTCGCGAAAAATAAAATCGTCGGGGCGGAGGGGGCACTGGGCGCGGCTGGGGAGGCCCCACTGGGGGGCGCTGGGGACCACTGGGGGGGCGTTGGGGAGGTCTGGGGGGGGGAGGGGTGCGTCGCGAAAAATGAAATCGTCGGGGCGGAGGGGGGCACTGGGCGCGGAGGAGGCACTGGGCAGAGGTCCCACTGGGGGGCGCTGGTCCCACTGGGGGGCGCTGGGGACCACTGGGGGGCGCTGGGGAGGTCCCACTGGGGGGCGCTGTGGGCAGAGGTCCCACTGGGGGGCGCTTGGGACCACTGGGGGGCGCTGGGGAGGTCCCACTGGGGGGCGCTGTGGGCAGAGGTCCCACTGGGAGAGGGGCGCGTCGCGAAAAATAAACGGTCGGAGCTCTAGACCCCCCGTGCAAGAGAATAATAGTGCCCAGACTATGTTTGACCTTTCCATGAGGGCTAAAAGATGGCACCCGACTTAAACACCCATCCCAGAGCTATTATACGTCCTGGTTTTGGGCTGTCTCGTTTCGTTGTTTTGGTTTTTGGGCCTCCAGCTCTCTGGAAGGTCAGGGTAAAAAGGGGGGGCGGCGCGAGGGGCGGGGGCTTCGACTGTAGACGTAAGTCGGGCGCGTCCCCCTCCAGGAGGATTTTCGACGAGAAATAAGAAACATATTCCCAAAATAGTCCAAAAATGATCCAAAATTAGTCTGGGGACGATTTTTTAAGTATTGTTTGACCTTTTTGCTGGATGTTTGTGGTATTTTTTATTTTTCGTCGAAAATCCCACTGTAGGGGGACACGCCCGACATAAGACTAGACGTAAGAGTGACCTTTCGCCGGAGTGACCTTTGGCGCGGGCCCAATGGGGTTTTTCGGACCGGACAACAGGGGGGGGGCGGCGCGAGGGGCGGGGGCTGAACACCAGACTCAGGGCGGGCGTGTCCTTCTGCAGGAGGAGGGTTCAACCAGCGATCGGAAAATAGTCTGGCTGCGATGTGTCGATGACTTTGGGCTGTGTAGGGTATTCTTCGGCTCTATCAAGAATGCAAAGCATCGCCTAACACCCGCCTGCAAGAGGACATGCCCGACCTAACACCAGACCTCCTCGCGCTGTGAAACGATCACGACGGGAAGTTTTTCGCTAACGTCTGCCTCCAGAGGGGCACCTGCCGGACCCCGCCGTCGAACAACGAGTCGGGACGTAAGGCCAGCCCCGAGGGAAGGGGCCCTCGGAGGTCGACGTCGCAAGCAAACCGCGACGTCGGGGGTCTGGGAAGGCGGCGGGGCCTTGGTGGGCCCTGGAAGCGACTGGGCCGTTTTCGCGTTTGTGTTACCGGCTCCCTCCTGCCGTTTTCCTGCCGGTTCCGGCGCCGTTTGCGTTGCCGGTTCCGTCGCCGTTTGTTTTCCGCTTCCGGTTCCAGCTCCGATGCCGGAGCCGTTTGATTGCCGTGTCTGGTTGCCGTTTTATGAACGTTTCCATTTTCAAGACCGTTTTGTCGAAAGCGGTGAAGACGGCCCTGCCGTTTCTGGGACCCGCTCGGGGGTGGTGCGGATTTTGGGGGGGCTTCCGAAAAGGCGGCGGGGCATCCAGGGGCCTAGACGCCCTCGGTGATCCTTTCACACCGTGGACCCCCAGAGGTCTGGACCCCTTTCCCGGGACCGGCTCCTCGCCCTGAGTCGTTTTGTCACGTTCCCGAGGCCTGGCGAGGGCCCCAGAGGCCGAGAACAGCGAAAAGCTTCCCGTTGTGTTTTTTCACGACGCGAGGAGGTCCTCCTCCTCCCTTCTCCTTCTCCTCCTCCTCCTCCTCCTCCTCCTCCTCCTCCTCCTCCTCCTCCTCGACTGGGATGACGACGGGATGAGAATAGGGCCGAGATCTCTGGGGGTCGATGGTCTGAACACATCATGGCGCCGGCGGTCTCTGGGGAGGCGGGTGCGTTTCCTAGGAGCCCGCCCCATCCTCCAAGAAGCCTCCTCGGAAGCTTCTGGGGCCTGCTCAGAAGGATCCTGCCTTCTAAGAACCCAGACCCCTCGCGGGGTGAAAAAATCACGACGGGAGATTATTCTACATTTTCGGCTTCCGGGGGCCCTTCACGGGCCTCGGGACCGTCAAAAAACGACTCGGGATGAAAAGCCGGTCCTGGAGGCCACGAACGGCTCGAGTCTTCCCCGAGAAGTCGGCCTCGCACGCCCAGTCGTCCCCAGCTGCACCTGCCGCGCAGCATCTCCGCCACCCTGCCAAACCACGGCCGCACGTTCCGTGTGCGCCGCAGGTGAGGCACAGCGCACGTACATCATGGGGGAGAGCCCAGACGACCGCGGGGACAGGCAGAACGGCAGACACTCCCAGCAAACGGCGCCTGCGAACGACGACCAGCGCACAATCAGACGAAACCCGCACCTCGAGGAGACGGCCAAGTTCGTTGGAGGGAACCCTTGTTAAGTGATTACCTTCCCTGGCCGCGTGGAGGCCATCAGCTACGAATTCCGAGAACAGTATGGCTTGATGTTTCTTGTCACGCACGTGCGGCAGAAATACAATCGATCGCACCATCGAGAAGACACAGCAAATCATATGGGACGCAGCCCACACACTTCCTCAGCATGCGGATGCGCAGTTGACATTAACAAAAGTTGTTTTCATCCAGAGCACCTTGTACGTATAGCGTTCCCCCCTCCTCTGCAAGGACGCGGAGTTTCAGTAGACATTGTACGCGGACATTTTTCAGAGTAGGCTTGATCGTCGGATA